GAACCTTGGTGGAACCCTGGTGGAACCCTGGTGGAACTCTGGTGGAACCCTGGTAAAACCCTGGTGGAACCCTGGTAAAACCCTGGTGGAACCCTGGTGGAACCCTGGTGGAACCTCGTGGAACCTTACCTCAGGGCCACCCTGACCACCCCAGAGCCTATCTGGGCTGAGACCCCAAAGCTTTCAGCTGTTGGGGAAAAACAGAAGAGCGCTGAATCCCCGCCTCCAGCTTGTCCAAAGCATCCATCGCGGTTTGTCCCCGAGCCGATTGTTTGTGTTGGGTTTGGTGGTTGCTGCGAACTCTCTCTCTCTCTCTCTCTGTGATGTTGGTTGAAGAGTTGTTGTTCTGTAGACATACTCAGCATGCTTACTCAGCATGCTTGGGAGTGCCGGATTGATGGTTTGAGCTGAAGGGTCCTGGTTTGGTAAGTGCGGGCAAAGGCCTGTTGCCACTCTTTAGACCAACATTAGCTGGTTGGCCGACCAAAGCTAACACAATAGGATGGCTATCTGCTGAACCGGCGGAACACACACAGAGATTCGCTGCTTGAGCATGGGTGCTAGATTTGTGTGCGTCTCCATGGTGCAGCTCGGGTTGCATGGAGGCCTGCAGCTTGCGGCTTGAAGCTGGTGGCAGGCATGGTGGTCACAACGTGAAATCGGGCCATGGCTTGCTGATTAAAAAAAGAAGGGGCGCTCCTCGGCATCTGCCACTGGCAGGGATCCCTCCGCAACTTGCCCGGTCGCCTCGGCTCCTCCTATCACTGCGAGCGTTCCTCGTTTGCAGTCGGCACCCAGGCTGCGGCCAAATGAAAACATGGGACAAAAGAGGACGCCTCGGTGCCTGAAAAAGGCACCCACATCGAGGAGATTGATGGCTCTCTTCGCGAGATCATCCCGTGATGTGCCGTTCGAAAGACCTTGGCATAGGACAAATCCAAATCCGTCTCCGAAAAGAAAAGGCCGACGACCAATTCAAAGGCCGAAAACGAAAGGCAACGGGCACCAGAAATTTGGGGGACCCAAACCACCAAGCTACGATGCAATTTCACGTTTGCTCAACAGATCTTGACACGGAATTGACACCCTCAATTTCTGACCCAGCCAAGACGTCGAAAGACATGAAGGTCTTGGTTCATGCAGTCCATGCTCCTGGCACCCCTCCCGCCCACCCCCTTTTTGCCGTTGCGCCAGCGCCCGAGGCTCTGTACAGTGCGCTTTTTCGGACGCGCGGTCCCGAGCCTCTGGGCCACACCGCGAGTCCCAATGTGTTTTGTTCCTTCCAAGGGAATATGTACCCTGCAAAAATCCGGCTAGATACAAAGATCACAGCAAGAAAATCAAGCTGGGAACCAAAGAATCAAAACTGTCGATTTGCCTCCGGCAATGGAGTTGCCGCCCGGAATGGAAGCATACGTCGCTTTCCGACAGAGGCTCGTACCACTCTGCGTTCTAGTCAGAAACAGGCCTTCTGCGTGTTGTCAGAAGACCCATTTCCGTCCCGCTTCAGTTAGTCGGGACCGGCGAACATCTGGTGCCAACATAGTCCGGTTTACATAGTCCGGTTTACCTCCGGCTTAGTCTTCAACTTAGGGAGAGCTTTAGCTCCGCTCTGCACATTATGGCGCAAAGTGATACCAGAGAGAAAAGGGCAATGCTCCATTGGGATGTGGCGCATTCAGCTCTTGGATGTTCAACCAACTTAAGCAGCTTACAACCATGGTGATTCTTCTGGCAGGGTTTCGTCTGCTTACCATGGCTGTGACTGGGAAACTATGACTCTCTCTTGATTCCGCGGAACGCATGCAGGCGCCGGAGACACCTCCGGCGGAAAACCGGGGGAATACCTCCTGGCGCGGTGCACAAGGGCTGAATGCTGCATGAAACCACCAGCTTTGGAGAACCTGGTGGTTTCCCGAGACTCGGCGTTGCAAAACCAAGTGGTGGCATCGAGGTTGAGGGGTTGGACCCTTACGTCACAGTTGGGGATTTGTGTCCACCATTGTGGATGCTCGGATATCTAGTTTCATGCTATCCCGCGCAATGCGGCGAGCTCTTCCCGAAATGGACTCCCACCGAAGCCCTCCCTCAGGAGTTCAACGGTGCAAACATGCGAAGGCCCCTGTTTCCGAATTATAGTGATGTTTGTCAAGCTCAATATCAATGTCAATGACAGTCGTCAGGCAAACACAAATCTGAGAGAAACTTCCTCCCAGGCGCAAGGAACCTCTTTGTGAATCCGAATGGAACGTCGCTGTTACTTTTTGGGGCATAGGGTCGGATTACCACCAGAATCATCTAGCCATCCACCCGGTGCCAGCGCTAAGACGCAAGACACTAGGCCGCGGGCAAGTGCGGACATTGACCGTGATCATGTTTCCAGCCACCTGCGCGCAATGGGTCTGTCGCAAGTTGAACTCGGAAAAATGCATGCTGCTTTTTGGTCCACAGCTTGTACCTCTTGGACGGTTGTCCCATGATATGGCCTGCGTGAGGCCATGCCGAGGGCACTGGTCGATCTGAAACATGCACTCTTTGGGTAAGTTCAACTCATTGACCGAAGGGAAGCAGACAAAAGCGCAAGAGTGTTCGCTTTGTGGTCACACGAGAATGCGAATCTTATCTTATGGTTGAAATCAAATCAGTGGAGCAAGTAGGCGTTGGAGCAAGCAACCCTTGCAACGCCAACATCGAAGCCAGGGTCTTGCGCCTGCGCTTTTTTTGCTGGGTCATCTTCCGTATACAGCCAGTCCCAATGTTGGCGAAACAAAGGCGCCTTGAGAGTTCCTACACTTCAAACCGCGAAACACGGCGAAACAGTCGGGGGGTGGGTTCCCCAGCCCTGTCCGATGCCGTGCACCAATAATGCAGGCTGGTGATTGGAAACCTCCTTTGTTTCCATTTTTGGGGGAAATAGATGAACCCTGCTCATTTGTGATCTGTCCCAAAGAAAACAAATTACCACGTCCTTACAGGACTCCTGGTAGCTCCTTAGCTCCCTTTTTCAAGGCAAAAATGGATCCGCTCGCCTGACAATCTTTCAGCGGCACGGAGAGGCCGCCCTCGATGTCCCGCAGCGCTCTTGTTGGGAACTGGCGGCCAACAACCCCAAGCAGAGAAAACCGCCGGGCGGACACACTGCTTTTGCTGACTTGCCCAGCCATGGAAAATGCAAATACCAGGTTGGTTGATTGATTTTAAAGGGGAACCTACGCGAAACGAAGGAAAACTGGGTGCAATTGGGCAACTGGATGATGACCTATGACTCGGAGGTAGGTGCTGCTTTCGAATGGGGAAAACCCTTTGCTAGAATCGCTGAAATTGCTGGCAGCGCCTCACACTGTCCAAGAAAGTGGGCAATTCCTAGGCGACCCAAAGATGGGCTAACAGCCTTCCTTTCAGGTCCAACGCTCGAGCGGCGACTCAGGGACTCACCAACTCGCCGACCGGTCCCTCCCCAGCCTGCGTAGACAAGTCCACCAATCTAGTGGGCTTCTCGGTCAGAGCTGCTGCGACCACGAACTGGCGGCACAGGCTTGGAAGGGTGGCAAAGTCCTTCTCTGGAGCGTTCCTTGTGGTTCAACATTAGCCGCACTGTCAAAGTCTCGGACAAAAATCCTCAGAAGCAAACCAGGCTGCGGAGACCTGGGCAAAAAGTTACACACTGTTGTCCTCGATATAGAAAGTACGCCAAACGCCAGCGCTCTGAACCTTGCGTATAACATGTGGCCTTAGCACAGCAATCAATACATCTCCCACGATATTCACGTCAACAACAAAGGACCAGTACCCCTTCAATGACGGATCAACCCAACAGGTGAGTTCATGCCGTGAAGCCAGCATGGAAAGAGTTGAAGGGCCCCTTCAGTCTTCAGCCCTTGACATATCAGACTTGAATCGTTTCTATGCAATTCGCAACAGGCGACGGATGCCAAACGCTTTACGCCTGGGAAAGAGAGGAAAACACCGAGGGCTTCTCACATCCAGCGAAAAATCTTCCAGCAAAATGCAGCGTAGGCCACCCGAACGCACTCCAACCCCAAAGCCTTCCGGGTTTTGAAAGGAATCCGAAAACCTGCGTTGCAAGGATTCTTCTCAGCTGGCAAAGGTCTTGTTTTTGGTAAAGGCCCAAATGTATGGGTTGTGTGTACCCTTTCCACCTTGTTTGGGACCACCCCAGCCAACTCCACCCCCCAACTCGCCAACTCCGCTTTGGGCCCCGGGCCATTTGCTCCAGCGGCTCCTCCGGCCGAAATCTCCGCGTGACCCGCTGGCCCGAAGGAAGCCGGATGGACACCTGCGCTCGCGGGGCTTGGGGATCACCTTTCCTTTTCACCTGATGGTTGCCTGCGCCAAATTGAATGAGTTGCGAAGCTTGTAATTTCGACTTGCCAACTTGGTTCTTTCAATCTTGCAGGCGTTGCTGCCGTGAGCTCTCGATATGCAAGCTGATGCTTGTTTGCAAGAACATCTGCGAAGATGTCCCAAGAGTGCGACGTGCTTGCAGAGGCAAGGCAGGTTTCGCTGAAGACGTGTGCAACAAATCACCAAGAGAGCAGGCCATGCGTGTTTTAGCCCAACGAGCAAAGCCTTGCCGGCAATGCCTTGTAACACGCGGCTGACAGTATTCATGCAACTGCACATTATGCAAGAGTCTAGTTGTGTCGCCGCAACACCCTGAAATGCCGCAACATTCTGGAAATAACACTTGCTGCAAGTGGTATAAAGTGGCAATGTGCTTTTTGCTTCTTCGATGAAAAAAATGCCGAAGTGCGGTGACAATGCTTAAAGGAATCCGCCGACGCTGCAAGCAATTGTCCTACGTCCTCCCAAACAAACAAAGTGTTTTTAAATGGACACCAAAAGGCAAACTATGTTTATGGTCTCGTTCTCTTCTTTTTGCTTCCCTTTTTTTGTGCCTTTTGTTTTGGGGGGGTCCAAATACCAGAAAAAGACCCATTTGTTGACTTGTGTGGTGCTTTAAAAACGCCAGCGATTCGCCTGGGTCTGAGCGGTCTCTGCGGCTGCGCATCCATTTTTTCTTGCTTGCACGGATGTCAGACAGTTTGTGTCCAAACAACCCAACAACCTCATCAAGTTGCTGACAGGACAGGTAGCGGCACTTGTTTGAGACAGCTCAACAAAAAGTGCTATAAACTTACCATAAGGCGGTATGCTGCCTATCTCCTAGGTCCTAGGTTTTGCCTCATCAACATTTGCCGTGCCATGTATTGAACTTATGCTGCCTCATTGGTTGTTTTTGCCAAAACATGTTTATGTTTTGCGTGGAGGAACCAAAAAGGCCGGTTTCCTTTTGGCTTCCTTTTTACAATGTGCCGCAAAGGGGTTCCCTAACAAAAGACACACCCAGGTTGCATCAAGCAACTCAAAGATTTTGGATCGCTGTTGAGACCCTCCCAATGCTGAGACAAGTTACCTTCAGATGCTCGGCGTCGGCCGCTGGCTCTTCAGGCATGGCAGGAACTGGCTCCTTCCAACGCTGAAACAAGTGCGAATGATTATGATGATGACTGATGTGAAGAAGCCGTTGACGCTTTCGGGTGCAGTTCTAATGGGGAATTCTTTGGTGGCCATCATGTACTTCGGCATTTCTGTCCACACCATGCTCCCAAGCAAATGTCTCCAATGTCAGTCTAATCTTAGGGAAACAAACATGAGCAAGGCAGGTCTAAAAATTAGGGGACCCCAAAATGGTTGGTTTCTTTTCGGTCTCCCACCATGCAAAAAGGGTCTCCGCAAAAAAAAATCACCCAAGCTTGCAAACTGAAGGTGCCATTCAAAGAAAAATTAAGGAAACTCCTGGGAAATCTGAACAAAGTCTGCAGTCTGTGTCGCGGAACCCTCCACAGAACCTTCACGAAAAGCATTAGTAAATTACGTACCTTGATTGCCCGGCAGAAACCTTTCATTGCTTGGTAGCGCAAAACCTCCCGAACGTGTTTGCCAATGCAGCAAGCTGGCCCCTTGTTCCTCCATGTCACGAAACTCAGACAATGACCCTTGGCTGCAACGAGTACTACTCCCTCTCTTCTCTCTCCTCTCCCTCTCTCCCTCGAGAGAGGGAGAGAGGGAGAGGGAGAGAGAGAGAGAGGGAGAGAGGGAGAGAGAGGGAGAGAGGGAGAGAGGGAGAGAGAGGGAGAGAGGGAGAGAGGGAGAGAGGGAGAGAGGGAGAGAGGGAGAGAGGAGAGAGGGAGAGAGAGAGAGGGAGAGAGAGAGGGAGAGAGGGAGAGAGGGAGAGAGGAGAGAGGGAGAGAGAGAGAGGGAGAGAGGGAGAGAGGGAGAGAGGGAGAGAGGGAGAGAGGGAGAGAGGGAGAGAGGGAGAGAGGGAGAGAGGGAGAGAGGGAGAGAGAGAGGGAGAGAGGGAGAGAAGGAGAAAGGGAGAGAAGGGAGAGAGGGAGAGAGGGAGAGAGGGAGAGAGGGAGAGAGGGAAAGAGGGAGAGAGGGAGAGAGGGAGAGAGGGAGTGAGGGAGAGAGGGAGAGAGCGAGGGAGAGAGGGAAAGAGAGAGGGAAAGAGAGAGGGAGAGAGAGAGAAAGAGAAGCCTCCGAATACAAATGGTGTCTGGTTTTCTGGAGTTGCAGTCCTCTGCCTCCGCCTGAACTTCGCCTGGTCTCTCCACCTAAGCGACGCCCAAATGGCAGCGATCTCATTCTAGTTTGCCTTTTAAGCCAAACAGGGGGGTTCCCAAAAAAAGATGAGTCTCTTGTGAAAACTCCCAAAACGCAGGTGCAAACAAGGCCGCGCGACAGGGCAGCTTAAGTATGACAGGGGGTGGTTGGGAGGTCAAGACGCAGGCTACCAACAAATGACCGCCATTGGACAAATGGCACAGGACTAAGACCCAGTTCTCAACTTCTATGGAAGTAGTTCGGGGTTCAAATTTGGTCACAGTTATTGTTATGTTTTTTTTAGCCAGCCAGAGACTGGAAATCTTGAAATATTTACTTTTTCAAAAAATCATCGATTTGGTTATCCTCAAACCTATCCAAAAATCATCCTACAATCATCCTCTGCAAAAAACATCATCGAAAAATAATCCTCTCCCTCCTCCTTCATCCCTCCTCCACATCGCTTCTATTCTCTGCGTTTCCATTTTCCTTTCCTTCCCGTTCCTTCTCGTTCCTTACCCTTTTCAATTTCCCTCTTCTTGTTTCCATGTTCCATCTCCTTTCTCTATTTTCTCTTCCTTGTCCTCTCCAATTCTCTTTGCCCTGCCCTGTTCCTTCTTTCCCTTTTCACTCTTCCTCTTCCTGAGACTGACAGGAAAAGCAAAAAGTTGCAAAACCCTCCTGTTTTTTTTTTTTTTTTTTCTCGAAAAATCATCGAACAATCTTCGAAAAATCATCCCCAACCCACATTTTCTGGACCAAACCCGCTTCACAGTGGTCAGGAAAGCAAAAAGTTGCAAAACCCTCCTGTTTTTTTCAAAAAATCTTCGAAAAATCATCGAAAAATCCTCCCCAACCCACCAACCCCCCCTT